CCTTTAGAATGTGGGAATACTGTTCAAATAGATTTTCATGTTTTTGATTGTGCTGATTTGTTATTGTATTCTTATTTCTTATTGGGCAGTCACATGACTTATCCTAAACTTTTGAAGAACGTCATCTAATGATTTTATGTGGTTCTTATGTGTATTCTTTGTCCCTTAACTAATTACCGTAAGCGGATTGATCCAAAGCCCTGAAGGCATGTATAGATGACTGGTTCATTGCATCTAAATCTTGTGTCTTGTCATCTAAAAATGTGGATTGGTTTGTTTTGTTGAAATTTCAATTGATCTCTTACAGGGTTTTTATGGCAGCATTTTCGATTTTTTGATTTCATTTTTCAAACATTTCTCAGAAAAAAATTGATAAGAGTGAAATGGTGGTTCCATATGTTGAAGAAAGGGAAAGAGTTTTGGCTTACCTATTATAAGCAAATCTTTGAATAAAGTGTGGATAGGTTGGTTTTGTTGAAACTTCAATTAATCTCTTATAGGGCTTTCGTGGAAGCATTTTCAATTTTTGGTTTCATTTTTCAGTTTTAAGCATTTGTCAAAAGGAATTTGATGAATGAAATGGTGGTTCCAAATGTTGAAGAACAGGAAAATCTTTTTGTTGACATATGTTAAACAAATCTTTGAATAAAAATTACAATACACTCAACTTCATCTTCACCCAAAATAGAACTTCCTGATTATGAGGCCACATTAATCCATGCAATTGATTGAGCTGCCAAGGATAATGCCTAATGAAGCACCATTTTTATCAGTCTCGTAAAATACCAGAGCACCAGTATATAAGAAATAAGATGAAAAATCAAGACCGTAACTTTTTCCCACCTTTTAAAATTTCTTCAGCTTCTTTTCCACCTCTCAACCCTTACACAACATTATCCTCTTATCAAACTTCCCAAGAAGACCTTGTCTGTCCATATTACTACCTAGAAGGCCTTTAAATGAAGTTGTATCATATGATTCTCTCAGTGGAAGTATTGGACAGTGTGATTTACATGAACATTTAAATTTTAAAGACAGATGTAGTATGTGTTAGTGTGTTACCTTGATATGCATTTCCTGTATGTGTATCTATTCTTTTTCTAGATGGAAGCTGATTGTGCTAGGTTTGATATGAGGTGTTTTCTAGGTCTTCATGGTGAGGTTTTCTGAAGTGGTGAATATGACCTTGTAATCATTTTGAGGAGTCAGAACTACGACCCAAATATTCTAAATGAATTTGCTTTCTGTTTTCTGCATGGTGGTCTTTCTAATTTCATGCTCTTCCTTCAAATTACGCAATAGACCGACCGCACACCTTATGTATACATCTAGTATCTATCTATCCATATGTATATCTACATAACTACGAGCATATACACACATACATACATGCATGAATAATCCTGTGTGAGTGAGATTGTGTCTCATTTTTCCTTTTTACTTGTTTTCAGGGTTACAATGCCCTCAAAGACTACTTCCCAACTATGGAAATGAAGCCAAATCCTCTATGTTCTAATTCTGCTTGTTTGGAGAGGCAGGTAGGGTGAACTGGATTTAGGACTTCTGTCCTTTCATTAGAGAACGTAAATATATATATATATAGACACGCTGTTATATTTCAATGTTACATCAACTGTGCAGAAAGAATACACTCTTGCAAAGCCTGCCAGGGATGCTGCTGCTAAAGCCAAGATGGAAGCGGAAGCACCATCAGAAACAGAGTGCCTCCATGAAGATAATGAATGGAACATAAGGTAACTCTTTGGTTGATTTTTCATTTTTTCTGTTTGGGCCTTATTATTATCGAGGGTAAACCTTTTCTCAATATTTATTTATCAGATTAATAAATCTTCATGGCACATTCATTTGCATTCTAATTCTCTCCAAGTCAATGATTTTGCCCATTCTCAGATCCTCTTTACTTCTTGTAACATGCTAAGTCCCTCATGTTCCTCGGAGGCTACTGATAGCTCTATTTATCTTTAATGTGATTCAGCATCATTGATGATACTGATCTGCAAGGCTCAGATGTTGGAATAAGTTCAGGTTATTTATTTCTCATTTGCTGTGCCTCTCTCTCTCTCTCTCTCTCTGTATGTATATGTGTGCATGTTAAACTTGAGTAGATATATGTTACAAAATATTCATATGGGTCGAGGAAGTATTTCTTTTCAAATTGAGTACGGTGAACAGAAGATTTTTTACAAGAAGTCCTTGGTGAAAAATGAAGATATAGCGACAATTTCTTTCAGGGACAAAAGTACGTAACACTTTGAAATACTTCATTGGTTGCTTTTGTGAGGTTGCTTTT